AAAAAAAAAAAAAAAAAAAGGTTTAGACATAGAATAACCCAGGGCACAGGCAGAGTTCAGGTGTAACAAAAAAAGGTCTTTATTAAATCAAAAAGCTGACGAGGCAGCTGGAAAAACTCACTAGAAAGACGTGGCGAAAAAACTACATGAAACATGAAAAGCGAGACAGGCTTTGCAGCACAATGATCGGACACTGACACAGACACAAGACTGAGCTTAAATACACAGAGAACTAATGAGGGAACAGAAAACACCTGGGGAGAAACACAAGGGTAATCAGCAGAGTGATGTGGGGCAGCTGAGCAGACACACACAGGGGAACATAGAAACACTAGGAAAAACCAAGGCATAACATGACAAACCATGACACTAACACCTGTTCTCTATAATCATTAAGCCACCTGTCTCTAATTTCCTCCTCAGTCCTTGTAGTTTTCAGTCTTCAGTTTTCTGTAGTTGCTCCTGTGTTCATGTCCTGTCTAGGCATATATTCTCAGTGTCTCCTTGAATTTGTTATTGTGTATTTTTGTGTTTTCTGCTTGTAAAGCTTGAGGTTTCTTGTGAACTCCTAATGTTGGTCTGAATTCCTGGCTGTGATTTTTCTACAGTCCATGAGAGACGAGCTGAAAGTGTGTGTTTTTAGTGTCACTAAGGAGTTTTTCTTTGAGCCTTGGTAAGAGACACTGAACTCATCACCTGCTGGTGCTCCAGAGCAGCTGATGCCTTCAGGTTAAACTGTCAGAAGAACTTACATCYGTGTTAATGAGATCCAAATACAAAACTCAAACTGAAACATTTGTGCTGTCAGTTTTACCTGCTGCTGTAAGATTCTCAACAAGAAAAATGTCTAATAACACAAATTTAAGTCATTTTAAAAAATTAAAGTCACTCAAGCCTCCACATCAAGATGCTGATCAAAAATTTGTGTTTTAGGTTGAAGTACTTTAATAATTTAATTATTTAAATATAGTTTATGAATTCTAAGTTTATGTAATTTGTTTTCATTTTTTCCATAATTATCTTTTTAAATTACGTCCTAACTCAGAAAAGCATGCTCCTGAAGCTGTGGTAGACAATAGAAAAAAAAAACAAAACATAATGTGTGCATTGTACAAAACTTTATTATTCAGACAATAAATAAACTGTTCTTTAAAATAACTGGACTTACATTCAGACAGCTGCTGATTCAGTGTATTTTAATCATATTCAAGCTTGAATAGCTAGTGGTTTTACTGGAACATTGTTTCAAACAGAGCGTAAAAAACTTTTCTAAACACAATTAAATCAAAATGTTCCAGCGTGTGGAACTCATATTTACAGTGCGTGTTGTGAGTGGATAAAAACATATCATCAGATKAAATGGTCCAAGCTGAAACATCATTCAGGTTTCACAGGAATCATTTCTACGTTTGTTGTCTGATCGCATCGATCCAGTCCATCTTCTCCTGRTGAGTGGGAGCCTGGATGTAGTAATGAACATCTGACTTGGTGATGATTTTAAACAAGTTGCCTTGAATGTTGCCCTTCACACCTGGACAGGACAGATGTAATAAATACATTAACTGTCTGAACAAACAGTCTGAGACAGAGAGAACTGAGTTTTACAGACGGGAGGTTTGAGTCGACACACCTGAAGGAACTCCATTATCTTCCAGAGAGGAAATCAGACAGCCCCGCAGAGAGAAGCCGCCCACAGGAGTGACATCATCCTGATACAAGACAGGAAGAGACTGAGTCACACAGCAACAGGAAGTGATGTTCTGATGACGTCATCATGAGGAACACAGAGTCAGATAGGAGCTGATTTGTTTGGGCTGAGACTGTTTATGATCTGTTTATCATGTAAGAAAATTTATATTCAATAAACTGAAGTCGAGATGATAACCCTAACTCTAAATTTCTTCACAATGTTTTAAAGTTAGAGAGCAGAAATTATTTAGTTTTAGCTTCTCTCCACTGGCTCCCTGTCAAATTCAGAAYAGAATTTAAAATATTCCTCCTAACATACAAAGCTGTTAACAACCAAGCTCCATCATATATGAAACATCTTATTGTTCCATACTTTCCTAACAGAGCACTTCACTGTCAGACTACAGGTTTACTTGTGGTTCCTGGAGTTTCTAAAAGTAGAATGGGAGGCAGAGCTTTCAGTTATCAGCTCCTCTGCTCTACAGCAGTGAACAAGCTCACATCAAAAGATTTCACAAGTTGTCCTCTGGATGGTCTTTCTCACTCAACCTGGGCTTGAACCTGAAGCCTCAGGACTATAAGACCACAGGACTGACCACCTAACAACCACAGCTCTGTTAAAAATCAAGGCATTTCACTGTAAAGGTCAGGCTCTCACCCTGGTGGGATCATAATAATGAAGAAAGTCCGGTTCTGAACGCAGCACAAACAGTCTCACCTTCCAGTTCTTTCTTCTGTGTCCCTGGAAGTAAAGACAAAGAGTTCAAACATGAACCATGACAGTTATTAACAGTTATCAGGAAGCAGATCAACATTTTGTCACAACATTCCCTCCTGAGCAGCACACAGGTACAMTGAAAGGAAAAACTCTGTTTAAACAAGAACGACGTTCCAGCAGAACCAGGTTCTGTCTCTGATCCTGCCTGTGGTGGTCTTGGAGGACAGATCACACAGAGGAGGGTGTTCTGTTTGAGAACCTCAGGGTAATGTCTCAGACTCATATGGTTCTGTTGGTGTGGTCAGACCAGGACCATCAGCTTGAACTGGGTGGTCTTTCAGACACATGTGAAGCAGGAAGAGAGTCAGCTCCTCTAAGTCTGAGACTCCAGTCTCTAGTCTCTACAGGGGTTTCTGCCCCAGGTGGAGTTCAGGTGGGGGTCTCTTTCACAAGTGATGGTAGGATGGAGCACTCCTTCACTCTGTATTTATCATCAATAAAACCACAGAAAAGTTATTTATTTGTTCCCAACGATCAGTATTATCTTGTATTTTTTTTCCATAATGAAACAGACGTCTTTTATCTTGGTCAAACTTTTCTGTCAGCTGTTCTCTTCTCAGGGGTCTCACAGTGAGTCATGGTCCTTTATCTCACTCTGCATCCATGTCCTCTAACTACATCCTACTATATCTCCTACTTGGCTTTCCTCAGTTTGTTTCCTTGAACCTGCAGCTCCAGCATGTTTCCATGAACAAACCCACTGTCCTTCTGTTGYACATGTTCCAAACCATCTCAGTCTGACCTCTCTTGATTTGTCTTAAAGGTAATTCAACCCGTGCCGTATGGTCTCATTTTCTCTAGTTTAAACTCATGAGTTAACAGTAATTCCAACATAYATGAATAAAAAGTGTTAACCTGTTTCAGCAGATATCCTTTCTTTCGGACTTTCCCACTCAGCTCTACTGCAGACAGAGACGCCTCAGCCTTCACACTGCCTCTCTTCTTTAAACTGTCAGACTGAGAGTTCAAACAGAACAAAAGTCCATCAGGCTGATGTATGCCACTGAACATCACTGCACTATTCATATACTGTATACATATATAT